AGTAAGCAAGTAAGTAAGTAACTAAGTAAGTAAGTAAGATATGATTGTCCGGATCATTTTCATATTCATCAACAATGTTGTGTCCAGTAATTTTAGTCATGTCTCTGTTCATGTAAAAAGTGAATACTGAATTTTAAAATTCAATTTTTCACTAGAGATTTTTAATTTTAAAGTTTAGATTAATCGACAACGGCAAAATTAACAGCAAAATTTTCATATCGGGAAGAAGAGATGAACCATATGAAAACAACCGATTCAACTGAATGAAATTGCTCTAAATTACTGAAAATCGATTAGGTGACTTGACCAAGTAGAATAATGGAAATATTTCTACACTGAGAATACATCAATCGCATCTGTCTTAATGAAATGATAAAATACTCAAAAAGAAGAAAGCTAGCCGAAATATAGTCATTGAAAGAAATGCAACACATTTATGTTGTCAAAGAATTAATATTTAAGAGAAATTATCACTTTTTCCAGCAACCAAAAGTTACAATGAAATAAAATCGATCACATGGTTTTGTGTTAGTTAGTTCAGTATGATTGTCCCCAGCATGAATCAAATTCTGGAATGAAAAAGTTTTCTATTGCATTGACCTATGACCTAAAATATTGATTTCTATTTCAGAAGTTTCCTGTTATGATAGAGACTATTGGTCTTATAATATTAAACTGTAGAGTTTAAAAACATTGATCTACCAATAATCAACGCAGACTAAAAAGAAGGAGCTTATAGAATTAAAGATACTTCCTTAAGTCAAGTAATCGATTTTCATCACCAAAAATGTTCATGAAAATTTTATTTGTTCTGAATCAGGGAGAGTGAAATGATTAATTTGTTACATTTGACAGCTATCACAATCCAGCCGATCGAAATCAGGAATTGATAGAACTTACTTCATGGATAGAATTGTCAGTTTTGTAACTAATTAAATCCAAATAATCCACATTAAGTTTCACTTCATTTGTTGATTTCAAAAACAGAATAATCAATTAACTTCTAATTACACCAATTATTTACCCAGAAACTTATTGAATATAGTTAGATATTGTAATCTCATGGTTAAACATGCATTCACTGAATCAATGAACTAAGATTGAATATTGAATAACCTTTCAACATTTTATGCCTCGTTAATATCTCTCATTGATTTCACTAGTAAAATTATGTTTAGTCCAAAATCTCAATTACAGATATATAAAGTCAACCAGTAGGAAACAACGTTGACATTGATTTGATACATACTGATACTTAATGTTCAAAAATGTATACAATCATGATGAGCTAAGGGTGGTGGTTGTGGCTGGCTGTACTGTTAAACGATAAAGGTTTGAATCTTTGAAGAAATGCTTATTTTCTTTAAATGTACAGGAAGAGAGAGTACAAGAACAGTATAACTATAAAATATAACCAACCTTGAGAAGTGAACAATTTTGTACCATTTCTTCAAGTGATCGGTTAACATACCTACACCTTAAAATACAATGTGAACTAAAAATATAACTACTGACACAATTATACTTCATAATCTAACTCCCAAATTCTTTACTGTAGTCGAAGATAGTGGGAGGTCATGTTCTCCATCGAACTACTATCATATGGTAATAAGTTTATGCCACTAATCATGAAAGTCCTATCCATCGCTTTTATATGAAGAGTATTGAAGATAGACGAGCAAACATCAAACACTTAAACTCGAGTGGTAGATACAGGGAGAGCATTTAAAGCGACTGGATTGCTCTGATCTTAATCTAATGGTTTATATAAAGTCCAGAATCCTGAGGAGATGAATGATATTCAAGTCTATTCTAATCACCGTCTACTGTGAGACTGTACTTCTTCACATTACTTCATCGCTTTCTGGATTAAATCATCATGATTAAAGCGCTCCAGCAGCAGTATCTTAACAAACCACCTGATTCAGATTGACCAGTCGAGTAGGTCTCCTAAACCTTAAGTAAAAATTATGGCGCATTTATTGATGCTAATATAATACCAGGATTCACCGGCTTAAATCAATAAATAAATTTGAGCGATTCAATTTTTTACGAATCCGAGTTAGAATAATTAAACCACTTGAATTTTCTACTAAAATAAAAGTCAACTGAATACACAATGAATGTTGACATTTTTTAAAAATCTCATTCTTAGCTACAAATATTCTTTATCATTGCAGAATATTTTTTTTCCTCATAACAACCTGAAAATGTAAATAATTAAAGATCAAAATTAACTTCGGTTCGATTAGAAAAAAAACTTTTAATCAAAACACTACAGAAAGTATTGAACTTCTTCTTCTTCTTCTTCTTCTTCTTTATGCTCAATCAGGTATTTTCTGTTGCATATTTTTGTATTTCTAACATATTTTTGAACTATTCATTAATACGCTATCAATCAATGTCAACAAACCAAACCTACAAGAAGTCCGTTGACGATAACTTATTTGACCATGAAACTAGGTAGGGCAAGGATGCATTAATTCCTTCAAAATTCCAAGTATACTCGACTAACGAATCCCAGCTTACACAGAACCTGGATCACAGTTTCCTACTGGTATTTCTAACTACTGAATATCAGTTTTGAACTAGATTTATGACATCACTGTCAGTCATTCATGAACTACTGGTTAATAGAAATTGTACAATCATTAATTCATGATCCATATGACAATTCTAATATACGAATCACTTAGAAATGAACTATCCGTTCTTCAAAACAAATTACCTTAACAAAACTTTTTCTTTTCATCTGTTAATCACTATTTAGCATTCAATGATTTGTTTTCAAAATTTTCTTTGTTTAAATCGTATTCTATCCTATCTATAAAATCTGCTGACTAATCCGATTAGAAAATGACGCATTAAAGTAGAGAAACGATCAAAGTTCATCCGCTTTTTTTTAGTCATATAGCATTACTCATTGTATATTTTAAATTTTTATTCATTATGTGATGAAATAAGTGTGAGGATTTGCTTGATAGTTTCTTAAGTCAAACAGGTTGATCGTGAATTTTTCAGCTCTACATCCTACCTTCTATTTGTATCCATCATACAGCTAAATAGGTAAATGATAGATTTTTCTTCAAAATAGACTATATTCCACTGACACCGTTGATGACTGATTCTCAACCACACGGTAAACTTATGTCTACTATTGCAATGACTTTATCTGTTGAGGAGTATATCAGTGTCTGTGCCTTATAAAAGTTATCATGTTTCAGTCACATTGTTAATTACTATTTGAAGACAACTACTTCAATTACTAGTAACCTTCATTAGTAGCTAGGTGGAAAAGATTTTAGGAAGGACCATTAGAAAATACTCTTAATAATATCGAATATTGTTACCGTTATGTAGATGACAAACTAATTATTCGAGATAGAACGGTTAACCTAAATGAACTCTTAGGAAAATTTTAAAATACCCATTTCTTGACTGCTTTCACATATGAGAAAAAGTGTGGTAATAGAATGGAGCCTCTCTAAAAGGTTGGACGGTTCGGTAAAATGGAATGTATTTCGAAAAGAAACTTTGACGGAACTATACATTCATCTTCAAATCTTCATAACCCCTCTACATAAAACTAATCTAATTAAATTTCTGAGTCACAGAATCTGACAACTATGATTTGAGATTAGTATATAAGAATAAAAAAATAAGGGTGACACTAATTTAAAATGAATACCTTAGCAATTTCATGACAATTTACATGACTGAACCTATAGCTAAGTATTGGACTTTCACAGTGTAAAAGAAAACTCTATAACTGAGAATAAGGTTCAAATATACCGAATGAGCAGATTGATCAGGACTTTTAGTGCTGCTAGATTACACATAGTTTTCTTAACGAAGGAAATTAAGAGTAACATACCAATGATAATCTCATATTTGTGTTTATCTATTTAACTATTCCTGTGGAGCTAGTTACTGTAGCCATATTGAAAGATTCTTATAATTAGACACCCATGAACACGTCCCGGAATGGTTAAGAAAATGTGTTACGATATCTACCAAAAGGCTTACTATATATATATTCGCAGCAATCTATATCATTTCAAAGAAACCTAGAAGAAAGATACATACCTTGGTCTAAATTAGGGTTTGTTTAAATCTTGTCTATTCTTGATTATAAATTATCGCTCGCAAGACATATCCTTTCCGTACATGATATTCCTACTAATAATTATTCTTAATGTCAATATCAGTATTATCATTTTTACAACACCAACAACAGTCTTCCTATTTTGTATCAACTTCTATGTTCATACGTGTTTAACTTATCGATTAGAATTGATTAGCTTAGGATACATAGTTTTTTTTGTACTGTTTATTGGTGTGTGTGTGTGTGTATGTGTATGACCATTAATCTTAACATATAAACTTGATGAACGTGAAATTAGTCATTTTCGATTGATAACATGGATTAATTTATTCTTAGTATTTTGTTCATTTTAATACAGTTATAATTTTCGATTTATGACTGTAGAGTATGATGAAGAAAGTATCAAAAATAATTGTCCGGTTCAATACTTTCAAATCTTAAATATTTTACAGGAATTTGTAAATTGTATTAACAATTGTAAAAATATTTCACACTTGCATAGTTTATCCTGTTACTTACTGTACACGATTAACTTATACATATGGACTAGAAATATACTAAGATAATTCGATAATAGTTGATTAGGAAAGCGCTGAAATTAAATATCGTGTCAGTTGGTGCGCATAGCCAAGGCATAAATGAAATCTTACGATAACTGATGCTCGTCGACAGGATTTAATCGTTGCTACATACTAAACAAATATGTCATTGGTTGTAAATGATTCACCAATATACACGGAGTTATATGGTATCCATGATTAGTCTAATCCAATCCATATATGTAATTTATATAGTGTTGTAATACCTTCTAACGAGATATCAGTCTTTAATAATTTTGTTCAACGAATTTGTGTCAGTAATGAAAATATTTAACTGAGTATAAAATAATGAGACGTAGAAGTAACTTGTTCTATTTGTTTACTCCACAAGTCCAATAAATTATAGACCAATATGCCTGATAGTAAACATGGATTCAATGAAATGTGATTTTTAATAAAAAAAAAACTCATATTCATCTACACCATACTCACTGGAGAATGGAAAGATTAATGGATTTAGGTAATGCGTACAACACATTTATTAAATGTAGAAACACTGTAGGTAACCTCGATCAGGTTCAAGTAAACAACTTTTAATCATCAATTTATATATTGTAGAATGGACATATTTTCAATAGGCTAAGGTATCATTAGAAATTACTAAAAATTTCATAAGTTGTTAATGAATCAGTCAAAGTTTTACAATAAAATCAATCTAATCAAATGATAAATTGCAACCGAGTATGGATTAAAAACAACACTGAACAATGGAATTCTTTTCAACTTTTTTTTTCTTTTTTGGTTAACATGTACACACACACACACACACGCAGAAAGAATGATAAATTATTTTTTATTTCGAAAAAAACAAACAAACAATAATAATGATCAAAAAAAGAAAAAAAGAAAATTCACCTTCTCAACGTGTGTACATGAACAAGAGACAAGATTAACATAACGAAACTATGAAAGGAATTATTGTTTCAATTTTCTATGGACAAAATTCCTAAAATGTATTTGGTTATATGAAAACGTCTCTTGATCAATAATAATAGTGCTAATCATGTAAAGACTGTTTAAAAATTACACTATAGAACAAAAGAAAAAAGCATGTAAAACACCCAACATACAAGAAAGTATGGTACATTAGACGACAGAAATTAAGATAATTGTAAAAAAATATCGACACTAAATTAATGTACGATTTCGTGTATACACATTATCAGTGGGTTATTTTGAAAAATGGATTGTTTGTTCTATCGACTATTTAATGCTTCCAATTCACTGGGATTAGCAGAGTTTTCGATTCCCATAGAAGAAGGAACATTCGATTTTACATCTCTACGAGTGATTTTTCCATGATAAGATTTCCCAGTCGATTGAACTATTGGAGCTTTGTGCATTAAAAGTAATAAACTAAATGTGATTATCAATGTTCCAGTCAATGTAACCCAACCAAGTAGAAACCAGAAACCATTCAATACACTTACAACTCCATCACATACAGCTCCATTCATATCTACTGCAGCAGCGTGTAGACGACGACATTGACCAACTTTTGACATGATTTTAGGTCCAAATTCAATAATTAATTTGCCCGCCTCTACTGGTGTTTTTGTTTTAATATGCTCATCAAACAATTTTACAGCTCGATTAATTAAAGCTGTCTTATTATTCATCATACTTTTTAGTTCGATAAGCGATTTTTGTAATTTAGAAACATGAGGAGCAATTTTTTTTAATTTAGATAAAACAATAAGATTCCCATCAATATCAGAAATAATCTTATCTAACTGTACGAATGTTTGTTGGACTTTCTCAGTAGCAGCATTTAATCGATTCATTTGTTCTACAGATAAACGGTTACTTAAAATATTCACATAATATAATTCCCACAGATGCCACATATTTTCTACTGGCCATAATGTATAGTCCCCAGGTTCATCTGCTCGAGATTGAATACTCAGATATGTTTTCGGTAGTTTTGAACGAACCTCTTCATAATTTACAATAAAATCATCCAGACGAGATGCCATAGCCAAATTTTCGTCGGTTTCCTTAGGGAACATTTCATCGACACTGATTGATTTTAAAGAATCGATCATGATGTACTTGCCAAGGTCGACAAATCTCTCGGACATCTCAGGATCATTTAATGCTGTCACATCAAAGTCTCTGATACTATCCATTGCCTCTAAAATGCCTTGATTTTCGCGGCAGTTACGTAAAACTCCATAGATTGGACTTCGGATATGAGGGATAGGCATAGATGTAAACTGACTAGCCATTGAAACAATAGCTGGCCAATTACGATTGATAAAAGCATTGATATGTGCATCGACAGGAAACATTGTCCGTTGAATATAATTATGATTCACAGGGTCGTAATCAGTAATATTGACTACATTCTGTTCAGGATTTACGTAACGACAACCTTCAGTATAAAGGTAACCACCAACTAGATAGAATAAGCAAGCCAAAATGATACTGAGTGAAAGAATGCAAAACCCAATACTAGCACCTAGACGGACTCGATTGCGAGTGTGTAGACTAATTTCCGTTGGTACAAAATGATATCGAATAATTAACCACATTAGACCAATGGTGATCAACAAAACAGAGAACCAGAAGAAGAGATTCAATGTCAAAAAAAGACTAGATGTAGAAGAAACTTTCGGTGAAATTGATCTAGTTATTAATATAGAGATTTTGTCAATTTCTTCAATAGCTTTAGTCAACTGAGGTCCTAGTTGATCCCATTGTTTATTCGTCATGTTACGTATCGATTCAGGAATGTTAATCTGTTTAGCCATTAAAGCTTTTGTTTTTTCGAGTTGACTATTTGATAACTGTTTACCATGGTTCAACTGAGCTTGTACACTTTCAGCAGTTTGATTTCGATCAGTAGTCAGAAATTTTAAAGCTATGGCAAAATTTATTTCAGGCATAAATGAATCTGGTCGAATAGATACATTGTTAAAAAATGTTGAACGTAATTCACTGCACTGACCAACACAACTATTATAATCATTATTGAGACTATCTGTATTGACTAAACGTAACCAGGTTTGGAATTCAACTTTAAGTCGATCAAATGTATTTTTAAAAGCAGTATTCGATTGCACAATAGCAATATATTTTGTCATCAATGTGACTACATGTTCTCCTAGAATGTCTCCAAGCTGAAAGGCTTCAGTAACTCCAATATCATTGAAAAGAACTGAGTTAAACTCATTAGTCATACGATCTTGCATCGCTTCAGTTGCTTCAATCAGGCTTTTGACAACAGGTTCAATATCAATTTTAGTCTGCGGGACAAATTCACTCATATAAGCTCTAATTTGTGCTAAAGCCCGTAGAATACGCGGGAATACATGTGTTTTCTCAGAATTGGTTTGTATTAGCTCACCAACAGTTAATAACCGTCCCACTGATTCTTCATGAGTTGGTGCCGATACCAAATTTGTATGAAGCTGACCACATGCAGCGAATCCAAGTAAAACTGCCGTACCCAACAAAACTGTTAAAATGGTTAACAGTGAGAATTGTATAGCAAGACATATCCAGTTTGATTGTAAGCGTTCACGAGTTCGGTAAAATGTTGACTTTGGTGAGTGTCGTGTGTGTAAAGTAATCTCAACAGTTTCTCTGGATGTATTCAATGTATGATTTTCTGTAGGTGCAAGATATAATAATGTTTCTGAACGTTTTTTCATACGTTTACGCTGACGACATGTCGAACATGCAGCAATAATTAAAAATATAGTCCATAACAGAGCACATACAATTCCTAATGCATAACCTGTTCGTGAATAAGTTGATAAAACATGATCAATTATTGTAACTTCTGAATGTGATGAATTTTCGTTTAGATCAGATGATGATATTTTCACAATATTATTAAGAGCAAATGTTATAATTCCACCATCTAAGCTTGGTTGTGCTCGACTAACAATCGCTTTCGCAGAAGAGTATATTGAATCCATGAGTAAATCCAAATAAAAAAAGCAGCTTTAATTAAGTTAATCACACATGTTATGACCTTGATCATCTGACAATGGTTAAACGTATTGTTAGTTTTGATTGGTTATGCCAAGGCTGGATTCTATTGGTTAAAAATTTCATTCGTTCACATTTACTCAGCGTAGGGGTCAGTGGTATGTTAACTAAACCAATATAAACCAAATCTACAAATATGTTTTTTATTCAGTGTCGGTCGATAATTCATATCATATGACCAGGCTTATAAAACATTGGTCAGAGATTTTTAACTAGACAGTTGAAGTTGTTTTGGTCCAAAAGGTAGAATTCTGTGGGTTTAGACAGAGAAATGTGTCATGTAAACATTCAGAAAACTCATTAACAGTCTAACGTAAAGACCAATATGGACAAAATAAAAATGAGTTGTTTTCACCTACTCAATTTAGCTTTTATTGATATTGAAAATTGATGACTATCGATACCATTGCATAACCCGTTTAATTTCTAAGTAATGATTTAGATAAACCTCTGAAGAAAACTGAAAAGTGAATGAAGTCAACATGAGATATGATTAGAAGATTTGCTTTACTTCCCGACTAAACTGCATACGATAGGTTGCTTCATACGATTTAACTGCTCATACTAAATGAAATTATAACGACTACAAATATCGAATCAATGTTGATAATGTAAACAATTTAAATATTCAGCTGTGTACGAATACGATTTGAATTATCTTCCAATGAGTAACTCGAAAGCTAGACTGAACATACTATCCGTATAACTATTCTGATAAAATACAGACACTTGTGAACTCCTTGTTAGATGATAGTTCGTTTGTTAGGTAGAGTGTCCAACTGCTACTTTTGAGAGCACAAATTCAAATGTAATTTCAGCTTTACTTGTGCCTCATTCAAGAAATTCTATTTCATCAATGCAATCTGTCACATAATCACCATGTGTTATAATTTATAGAAATAACAGTCATTTTTAGTTTTTTTTTTAGGAAATATTTCTTCTAACACTATACTTCTCTTTCAAGCAACCACAATTATTCCACCTTACCTTCTTAGATTGATTAAAGACAGAGTGACTTAGTGTATGCAGAATAATATCTCATCAGAGCAACTTTAAAAAAAAAATGACATAAAATGCTCGTAATATTTTCACATACGTACCGTTGATAAACGTGGACTGAAATATGTACTGATAACAACGGTCGTGTATGTAAAAGATGTAAGTGATGTATCCTATTTAGTCTTTCCATTAAAAATATAATCATTTGAAGGCACAAAAATGAAGCATTTGAATAAAATCATAGAAGTTTATTTCAATGTTGTTTTTTTCAATCCTATAATTATGATTATCATATTACTGTTGAGTGTTAAACTGTTTCAGTTCATTTGAATGGAGATAAGTCAGTGGGTAAGGTAAACGAATCTTGGCTTAATAAAATAAAAACTTACATGGATTTAAATATAACAGCTCATACAATGTAAACAATTAGTAATGATATCAAATCCGGAAAAAGAATCAAGTGACATAATTACCATTCAGTGTATAAATAAATAAGGAATAACGAAAAAGAAAAAAAAAACACTCATGAAAATACAGCAAATTAAATTCATTTGATAAAAAGAAGTGAAGTTTACTTTTGACTATGGTGGTGATAATAGGGATTTAATTAGATACCGGCAATTTAAAAATGAATTAACAAAAACCCCAATCGGAAAAAAAATTGTTATTTGTGTTTTTACACCTAGTTAATAATTATGGAGCATTTAAAAAAAATATTTTTTTTTTTTATGTCTCATGAACGCTTGAACAATACACATTTACAATAATTAAGTTTCTCTAGTCTTGATATCTTCAAATCATGTTGAAAAGTCTTAGATAACTCAATCATTCTATTTTTTTTGTTTTTTGATGTATTGAGTGACATACCAATAATGGAATGAACAATTGTCATTTATTGATCATATCAATCTATAAAAAGAAATTAACATCACTAGAGAATCGATGTGAATCCGCATATAGTTCTTCTTTCATTTTGCCCACTACTACAACAGTTATAAAGTAAATGTGGATGAATACCAGTAATAAAACATTTTACTAGTTTATTTGATTTTAATTAATATCTTGCAACCTCTATTCTATAATCTGTAAGTCATCTTTCAAACGAAATACTGAAGACATTATTTCTTCTGTGTGTGTCTACTAAGCGTTTTTCATGGTTTATTAGGAGAAGGATTTTCAAACACTAACTAATACCAGTCTGGTTGTCTTTCTATAAATACGTCTTTCAAACGTGATGTTTTTTAGTCACTGGATATTGATTAGCAAAGTTGGATGATGACTAGAAGTGAAATTGATAAAATGCAGTACTAAAATCAATTAGAAGATTAAATAACCGATTTAAATGTATTGGATACTAATGTCTAGAAATTTGGGTCTATCATTAATTCAATACCAAGTTGAGAATAAACTGCATTGATGTTGATTATTGAAATATCATGAATGTGCCCGTGAATGGTTTTATAGTAAGAGGGAACACCTCTCGAGTCTTCCTTAATTTGCAATACTTTCCTAACCAAAGTTAGTCTATAGGTGTAAATTACAGAATTTAACAATGTCCATAACTCTTTGTACTAATCAATAAGAATTTGTCGGTTGAACCATCTCACATAATGAATTTTAGGTACACCAAAACGAATTAAATCGATAATAAAGAAGTAAAACTACTGAACTAAAACAGCATGATCACAACATATTTTTAATTTTCAGAGTAAACCACATGGAAGATAGGTAGTCTGTATATAGTTTTTTTATTTTCAATTCAGAGTTGACAAACTACTGCACAAACGCCATATGATGATGCTAGAGGTGGTCGGTAGAAAATCCTGCTTAACGTAGCTCCTGCATGTCAGAGAGAACTAAAACAAATATGACATTGGTAAATGCTTATTGATCAGTCAGTGTAAAGAAAGTTATCTTCAAAACACATTTATAATATTTTATATTTCGAATCATGAACTGGTCATAGTTAGATCATCATTGGAGACCTGGAAGCACTGGACAGTATTTTCCTCCTTATATGGGACTCCTCATTAGCATTCATGAATGACCCCGCGTCCGGGAATCGAACTCAAGACATTCGGTCTTGTTTGAACATTTAACCTCCAGGTCACTGAACTGACATCCAGTAGAGTAAATGTCTAACTTTAATTAATTCATGATACTGCAGGAACTTTATCCATTGTCTCTGTTGGATAACTGACTCACACATGATACCTCTGAACTTTGCTTGGCATACCTTCTCACTAGAACTCCAGGAGTGACATCTCGAGGCTTATTTTGTAGTTTTGCACCACAAAATAAGCACTGAATGCCAGAAGGTGCTGGACAGCTAAATCATTTTGGTATGGGACTCCTCGTCAATGTGTTCATCCGCTATCCAAGACCTTTTGTAGTCCAGTGCTATCGGAATTTTAATGATTCTTCAACTGAACTCAGTTCATCATAGTAAACTACAAAATTCCACAATTTTCACGACTCCCTACACTAGAATAACAAATTTCAGTGGTTTTTCGAGCTATGAATCAGCTTTGTCTAACAACTTGATAAATATTGAAAATAATTTATTTAGTACTGCACCGACCTAATGTAAATGCAAATATTTTACTGAGTCTAACACTGTGTACATATTATGTGTGTTGCATGTAGATTGAATGCATTTTCAAATGAATAAATGTTGCAGAAGTGTAAGAGTGTGTGTGTGTGTGTGTGTGTATCTACCAGAGAGATAGTGAAAAGGAACATGTTTTTTGTCAGTATCTGTATAAATAATAATAATAATAATAATAATAATAATAATAATAATAATAATAATCAACACTTGTTAGTAATAGACTTTGAATTTTATAATTAATCAGTATTATAGAACTATTTTGGTACAAAGTCAATTAAACAAATAATGTACTGTTGTGTTTCTAACTTTACATGAAAATAGTTACAATTAACTGAAACAATACCATTTTGCTATGATGAAAAAATTTTAATTCCTGATTCACTAATTTATTTGGTATGATACACATAAATCATAGTTATTATTTGTAGGATAATGTTTCATTATTACTCATAAATTTGTCATTTCAACTATAGTTTTAGTGTTATTATTATTATATTCATTCAAATATTTGGTGTTTTGATATAAAAATCAAATAGAATTTGTACATGTGTTAAATGTAAGTGAACAAAGTTCATTAAATAAACTATTTTAATTCACATTATCAGTTTATCTTGGTGATATTGTAAAAAAAAAATAATAAATTTATGACACTGACGAACCTTTATACTGAAATTTATATTTAAATCGATGATGAATTGAGATGAATAGTTATTATTATTATTATTATTATTATTATTATTATTATTATTATTAACTGTAACAAATGAATAGTTTTGCATAAAAATATGTTATATGTTATATGTTCCATTGTTATTTATGCGAATTTCTAAATTACAGGAGAGTCGATCTTATGTAAAGGTAAAAACCGGTAATTCAAGAAAATCATCCACTCTTATTAAAGAAGAGTTAGTAGAGATCTGTATATTGTTGATTTCGCGACTGATATTAGCCAATCACCTGTCGCATTAAAATTAAGCTGATAGTTGTCGCACGGAATCATTGAATTACTTTTCTTTGATGAGATATCTGAGTAAGATTAAATCAGATAGTGAATATTCATATCGGTGTGATGATTGAGGCGGAAAGGAAATTTAATTCGCTGTAAACTTTGGACCCAGGTTTCGTGTTGTCCGAAACTCGTCAGCAAGATGTACCTGCAATTTTTGGGGAACTGACGGTCCCTATGAGAGTCTGCATCATCAAGCTTCATATTCTAAGAGGCCACCAATGAGCTTTCTGAGCCACAACAGACCTAACTTAGTGTTTTCAATACAATTCCCACGGTGATTGCTAAGTCGCATACCGTGGAGTGTCATCCAAAAGTTACTACCGGGGCGAAAAGTTTCGGATCGGAATGAATGGCGCTAACAAAATGTT